CCATTTAGACATACCTAATTGTTTCGCTTGTTCACCTATCTATCCATCCATATACCCATGTTTGCTTTCACTGACAACTCAGTACTGTATATGCAAAAGGGTTCATATTTGTTGTCTGTACTGCCCATGTACATAGGTTGGTTTTTGATGTTGGTGACATTGGACTAATATATAAGAACATGCTTTTACTTTGTTCAAGGCATGTGATTTAACATGTAATATGTCTATATCAATTTAATAATAAGTTATTTTGTAGTGGGGTTTTGTTGTTTTTTGTCTATTGCTTTTTATTGATATCTATACTTGCTCTTTCAATATGTCAAAATGATGTAAAAACACTATTTAAAGTGTGCCTATTTTCTTTTTTTCTATAGGAGCAGCCACCATATCCTAACTACAATTCTAACTACTGGAATTCTACTTCCCGAACTAGAGCTCCTTACCCAAATACATATCCTGTAAGACCGGAATTGCAAGGCCAGGTATGGTCTAAAATCGACAGGGACTTTCTGACGTTTTTCTTTTTTTAAAATTTTATTGTGATTTGGGTGACAGTTTACAGAACAAATTCATTTTCCATTACAGCAGTTCGTACAAATTTTGTTTCATGACATTGACTGCAATTCCCCACAATTTAACAACTCTGTTCCCACTTCCTCCCCATAGTTGCCTCTTCCCAGTGTCCATCCCTCCCATGCACTCCTCCTCCCCTCCCCCCACCTTGAGCTGCCTCCCTGTGCAAACGCAGCTCTTCTGTTCTCCCACAATTGATTGTTCCAAGGACTGTATCTACCTGATATAAATGTTCACCCCATATGCCTGTGTATTTGGCTGGAATCCACAGGAGTGAGTTCAGTTCCAGACCTGAAGGGTAACTAGGGGCCATAGTCTCAGGGGTCTCACCAGGCTCTATCAGACCAGCAAATCTGTTCCTTTTTTGTTTGTTTGTTTGTTTTTACTATGATTTTTGAGTTTTGTTCCACATTGTTCTCCTACTCTATTTGGGATCTCCTGGACCAATCCCTCTTCGAATGGTTGACAGTAGTAGCCAGGCACCATCTAGTTCTTCTGGTCTCATGGTCATATAGAGGATCACATGTCTACCAGTCCTTTGGACTAATTGTTTCCATGCATCTTTTTTTTTCTTTATTCTTCTTTGCTCTGGACGAGTGAGACTCATTATTGCATCTAGATGGCCACAAGCTTTTAAGATCCCAGTCTCTACTCACCAAAGTAGGATGTGGAAGAATGTTTTTGTGTAGTATGTTATGCCACTTGATCTTGATATCCCCTGTGACCATGGTCCTGAGCCCACAGGTCTGACTACTTACTCCATCAGGGTAGCTGGCTGTGGCCAAGAAGCCACCACAACCTTGTCCCTTGTCAGCTCTGCTATACACCCAGACATTCTTATAGCACATGCAAAAATATACTTGGAGAAACATCGTCTGTCAACCCTATACATGGTCATGGGCACACTTCCCCCTGCCTAGACATACTGATCATTCAACCTGTCCACCCATCTATCTACCCATAGATCAAGGGTTGCCATCACTGACAACGCAGTACTATACATGCAGGAGGGTTCATCTTTGTTGTGTATACCCCTCTGTGTCTTCCTCTTCCTCAATGCCACCATATTGATCACTCACGTTTGGTACATTGCCCTTCCCTTCACCCAAATCAATATTTGTGTCTACTTACCTAGCAATGTTCCCTCCACTCCCCTTCCATCCCTGGTAACCAACAAAGTTTCCTTCCATATATAAACCTTTCCTTGACTTTTTGCAATAGTGAACTAATAAAGTATTTGTAAAAAATCTAAAGTTTTCTTAATGGAGCTATTCATTTTCAGAAACTGTGAAGATTTTATAGAACTATGTGTGAGTTGTTTTTGTTTTAATGGGCTCTAAGGAGCTCTAGTGGCATAGTGCCTAAGGCCTTTGACTCCTAACCAGACGGTTGGTGGTTCATACCCACCAGCCACTTCGTGGAAGGAAGCTGGGCAATCTACTTCTGTAAAGCTTTACCACCTCAGAAACCCAGTGAGGGTTGCTGTGAGTTGGAATCGACTCAGTGGCAGTGGGTTTGGTTTGGTTTTGATTTATTAACCACATAGACAGCTTTGGTGGCACAGTGATTATGCACTTGGCTGCCAACTGAAAGGTTGGCAGTTCGAACCCCCAGCTACTCCACTGGAGAAAGATGTGGCAGTCTGCTTTCATAAAGATTTAAACCAAAAAAACGAAACTCACTGCCATCGAGTCAGTTCCAACTCATAGTGACCCCCACTAGGTTTCTGAGGAGGTAAATCTTTACAGAAGTGGATTGTCCCATCTTTCTTCCATGGAGCTGGTTGGTGGGGTTTGAACCACCAACCCTCTGATTAGTAGTCAGATGCCTTAGGCATTGTGCCACCAGAAGATTTAGACCCTGGGCGACCCTATGGGGCAGTTCTACTCTGTCTTATAGGGTTGCTGTGAGTTGGAATTGACTTCACATTAGTGGGCTTGATGGATTTTGGTATAACCCACATCTTAATGTGTTTAGCTGAGACATAAGGCAATATCTATGCAAATATTACCTATAGCAAAGATAGTGGGAGGCATATTGGATTATTTCTCAGGACCTGGGAACAACAGACATAAAACATACTTATTTTTTAAACTGTAAAATCTCTTCCTATGACAAATACTTAATTTTAAATATTTCAGGTATACGTAAAGAGTACAGAAAATATGTGCAGCTTTTTATCTACTATTTAGCCTTGTAAATTTTTACATTTGCCACATCTGTTTCATATATTTGAAGGAAATAAATAAATTGAAGATCTATATAATGCTTTCTTTCCTTTCCTGAAGTTATATTATTATTCCTATTTTTGTCTTTATACTTTTACTACATATGTATTCATCTGTAAACTTTGTATAATTTTTAACATATGTTTAAACTTGATATGAGTGTTTCCATATTATTTTTTTTCTGCAGCTTGCTGCTTCTGTTCAACATTGTTTTTCTTTTTTCTTTTGTATGAGTGACAAGGATTTCCCTAGGATATAAAATTGCCAGATTTTGGTGTTCACATCTGTCTTAGTTTCCTTCACCTTTGCTTGCAGAATACATCTTGAAGTGGGAACATTTTTGGCAGAAGCTTGAAGAAAACACTCAAAAACAGATTTGTTGGTTACTGCATAATTTCCATCCCTTTCTTTTTTGAGGGACTCTGGTAGCATAGTGCCTAAGGCACCTGACAGCTAACCAGAAGGCTGGTGGTTCAGACCCACCAGCCACTCCTCAGAAGGAAGATCGGGCAGTCTACTTCCTGAGAGATAACCGCCTCGGAAACCAAGGAGGGGTTGCTATGAGTCAGATCCGACTCGAGGGTACTGAGTTTGGATTTTCTTTTTCTCACAGCTGTACTTCTTGTATTTGGTTGCAATACCAATGGTTTTCTGATTACGTCTGTATCTCGCAGGTTCTGGCTTTCAGAGAATATTTATTAGGCTGAAGTAATTGCTTTAGTGAGCTTTTCTTCTCTGACAGATTTCTGCTTTACGTGGGTTCTGGCTTTTGCAGGCTTTACTGTGTTACCAATGATGATAATATAAATAACTGCAATTTATTGAGCATACTATGTGCCACACTTATGCTAAGCACTTCATATATGTTGTCTCATTTAATTTTTATAATAACCCTGTAAGTTTATGATGCCCATTTTACTGATGGAGTGACTGAAGCTCAAAGAGGTTGAGCACAAAAGCCTATGATAGTAAAGCTAGGTTTGTCCCTACAGTCTTTATTCTTTCTGTTATGTCATGGTAATTTTTTTTTCTTTAGCCAGGCTTCCAAATTTCCTAGAATCTCCTCCTCAGTCTCTAGGTACAAGTTCTCCTTTGCTATTAGCTATGTTGTTGTTGTTGTTGTTATGTGCTGTCGTGTCAGACCTGACCATAGCGACCCCTCTTTGTGTTTCTGAGGTGGTATCTCTACGGAAGTAGATTGCCCAACCTTCCTTCCAAGGAGTGGCTGGTGGTTTTGAACAGCCAGCCTTCTGGTTAGCAGTCAAATGCCTTAGGCACTGTGCCACCAGAGCTATCATATTATTAGCAAATAAAAAAACCCTCTGCCGTTGAGTTGAATCCAACTCATGGCGATCCTTCCTTGGGTTTCCGAGGCCGTATCATTATGGAAGTAGCCCAGTCTTCCTTCCATGGAGTGGCTGGTGGGTTTGAACCCCCAGCCTTCTGGTTAGCAGTCAGATGCCTTGGCACTGTGCCACCAGAGCTCCCTATTAGCAAATAGGGTTAGTTTTACTACTTCTTTACCAATTTGGATGTCTTTGATTTTCCCTTTGTTGCCTTATTGCTCCTGCTAGGACTTCCATACAGTATTCAGTAGAAATGTTGATATATGTCATCCTTGTTGGGAGGTCTGGTGGTGTAGTGCCTAAAGCATTTGACTGCGAACCAGAAGGCTGGCGGTTCAAATCCACCCCCCAGCCACTCCTTAGAAGGAAGGTTGGACAATCTACTTTCTTAGAGATACCACCTCAGAAACGCAAAGATGGGTCACTGTGAGTCGGAAACGACTTGACAGCAATGAGTTTAGTTGTTTTTAGTTTGGTCATCCTTCTCTGGTTCTTGTTCACAAAGGGAATGGCTTCAGTCTTTCTCCATTGAGCATAATGTTGGCAGTTGGTTTTGTATATGTGCCCTTTATTGAGGAATTTCCCTTCTGTTTTTTGAAAGTTTTGATCAGGAATGGGCATTGGATTTTATCAAATGTTTTTTTTTTCTGCATTGATTGATATTATCATGTGGTTCTTTTCCTTTATTTTACCTATGTGATGGATTACATTTATTGCTTTTCTAATGTTGAACCATCCTTGCATACCTAGTATGAACCCCACTTGGTCATGGTGTATTATTTTTTTGGTATGTCTTTGGAGTCTGTTGGCTAGGATTTTGTTGAAGATCTTTGCATCTGTAGTAATGAGGAATATTGGTCTGTAGTTTTCCTTTTTAATGATGTCTTTGCCTAGTTTTGGTATCAAGCTTTTGCTTGCTTCATAAAATGAATTTGGGAGAATCATCCTTTTCTGTGTTCTGGAATAGTTTGAGTAGAATTGGCATCAGTTCTTCTCTGAACAATTGGTAGAATTGTCCAGTAAAACTGTGTAGGCCAGGACTTTTTTTCCTTGGTAATTTTTTTTATGACTGGTTCAATTTCTTCTTTTGTTGTGGGTCTGGTCAAATTTTCCACCTCAGTCTGTGTTAGTTTAGGTAGGTAGTATGTTTCTAGAAATGTGTCCATTTCTTCTAGATTTTCAAATTTGTTTGAATACAGTTCTTCATAGTATCCTGATATTATCCTTTATATTTCAGTTGGTTCTGTTGTGACGTTGTCCAGTTCATTTCTTATTTGTGTTATTTGTATTATCTTCCTCTTTCCTTTGTTTATTATTATTTATTGTGATTTGGGT